GTATTACAGACAAATAAAAAAAATCACTTTATGTGATCTACTTCCTGGCACTGCGTTTGATGCTCCTGCCACAAGTGTGGCATCACTTCCTTCTTATTTCCTGTCTTCCTGTGTTCACCCTTTTATGTTTTTGTTCTTTTTTCACTTGGACTTATGTGAAACCTTCTAAAACATTTTTACTTACAGAATGGCATCCTCTGACTGTTCTCAGCCCCGCTGCAGGATACATTTGCTGGTAAAATAAACTCAGCAGGCCGCCAAGAATTTTCATTTCTGTTTGCTGGGCTTTTAAAGAAAACAACTAATTTGACAGTACACAACGACACACATAAGATTTGTGCATCTTTGGGTATAACAGAACTTTTGTGTAGTAAAGTATTTCTTTAGCAAAAAAAGTTGTATGAGTTATTTATGTATACTATTAAAAAATAGAAATATAGAAGATTTTCCTTGTGAATGTAAACTGTCCTAACACATCAAGCTATTTTTATGTTAATTAACATTGGTACACCTTCCTGAAAAGTCACAAAAAAACATTTTGTATAAAACAAAAAAAACAACAACCACATTTTGGCTTGTAGCCTATGTTGACATTATGCTCATGTTAAAGTTCTGATATTACGTTAAAATGAAAATTATTAATGCCTCATTGTGTCGGGGAGTTTGTACGACATTAATCTCACAGTCCCAGGATGTTAACATTTCCCAGAATGCACTTCTTTGTTGTGGTGTTTGTGAAACATATAACAAGGAGACATGACAGTGTCAAAATCCACGTGGGATGTGCAATAATTCACTGATGATGTTTCTTGCAGGATTTTTTTCATGACGTGCCAGTAATCCAACATCAGTAACCCTGAGAGAAAATCATTCTCTTTTTTATTTTATCTTAATTTTTAGACGATCTATAAACAAAAGGCTGACCATGGGTCTAAAGACCTCTCTGTGGATGGTTTTATTTTACATTTTTCCCAGACATTTTTAGTTTTATTTATTCAAAAGAAGAAGAAGAAAAATAATTGCTGTGCTAAGAAACGACCCAGATCCACTGAGATCATTTGTATTCAAAGAAAACCCTATTGCGCTTTACAGCAATGGTTTGTAGAAATATTGGACTTAGTTTCTTAAAAAGACCCTGTATGACCCTTGACCTTCAGCTGTAAAGAAAAACAGCTCCCTTTTATTCACAGCATTCTTGATGCCCACCCCACGTTCTGCTGATCATCGCAGTCGTGGCATGGTACCTATTATAATATGCTGTACTGTAAAATGTGGGTCACGTTGGTAACTCGGATAAAAGATAAACGATGCAAGATCCACTCTGCTACTGCAGCAAAGGAAGGGTTTTCATGATGTGCAGAGGCGGCAGAAAGTGTCTATGCACATATAAAAATGCTCATGTAAACAATAGGACAGGGAGAGCACGACTCAGAAATGCAATGCAAAAAAAAAAAAAAAAAAAAAAATCCAGGGTTATACGAGATAAATAGCCCTCAGCAACAAACTGAGTTAGTCAATAGCACACACTTGCTTGGCCTCACAAAAAACAGGGCACCCAATTAAACATTACATTAACCTAGTGTAGTAGCTGGCAGCTTTGAACAAAAATTAACATGACAGAAGGGACTAATGTACTTAACAGACATACTTCATCCAAGACCATTCACAATGTATGAACATATTCTATGAAAAAGAACAATATAGACAAGGGTGTGAAAAATAATTTACAAGGTATAGGACTAGTTACTAAAAGCCCAGTCACATGTCTGTGACTTGATTCTGTGACCTTCATGGACCTCTGGGCAGTGTGTACCGGAGCTTTTTTCCCCCAGAGCAGAAAGCCTCACACAGGGTTCTGCAAACCTTTGTCAGCACAAGTATCCCACTGTTATTTCACAGGCACCGTCTAGTGCTTTCTAATGTGCCTCAGTCAACTTAAGAGTCTGCTGACCTTGTAATAATCAACCTCTTGGAAGTCACTCTGGCCGTGAAGTATGCGGCAGCAGCGGCAATTCCCGGTTTAATGTGTATCAAAACAGTCCTGTCACATCATTTTCCTGTTCATAGCGGTCTCAGAAGTCTACAGATTAAAGTTGTGACCTTGCATTCAGCACTATCTGAAACTATAAAGCAGTTGGCAAGATCAAGAACTTTTTTTGTTTCCCTTTGTTTGTTAAAACTGAACCTGTCTGTGCCTTGTGTTGCATAGACCAAAGATGTTTGGAGGGTGAGAGCAGCTGCACAGAGTCTTTGTAACGGTTGGTGTTTGATTTTGTCTGACTGAGTGTTAAAAATGCTTGGACAGAGACGGAGACCAGAGAGTGACAGTCCTACTGTCATAAACTCACTCTGCTCTGACTTACTCTTCCTTGTCCTGCTCCTTGCTGTGATATCTCTGTCCTGGTTCCTCTTCTTCCATTCACTCTCACTGCCTTCATGCCACTCACAGCTGCTCACAGAGCATCTCTTCCTTCCCCATTCCGTCCCTGGGGGTTTCAATTCTCTTCCAATGCAAAGCTATGCACCACTCTGCACTTACCAGTGTTAAGAATATTTAAGCATGATGCACCACACACTCTTGTCAGCAGTTCAAAGCTGTTTGACTACATAGTCATGAAGTAGGATGGGTATTAATCGAGTGTACTTAGTGACTTATGCCTTGTACAGGTACAGCCCATTGACTCCACTCTGAGGCCTTATGAACAGTCCACCATGTCTCTTATACTATAGACGTCTGTCACTCACCGAGTCAGTGCTGGGAAGCTAGTGAGATAAAGAATGACACATTCTTCACGTTTGACATGTGTGGGTCATTTAGGTTGAAGTAGAAGAAGAAATTACTGCCTCCGCTGTCTGAAAGGCTTTGCCATAAAATGCCTTAATCTCAATAGACAAAGCAGTTTTTGTAATTTTCTTACTTTTAAATTTTTGTCCTCCACAGTTTTCGACTTTATATAATTATGGTTTGCACCACACTTACCTGGTATGATGAAGCTGCTTCTGTGACTGAATTTATCAGTTGGATGTAAAAAAAAAAAAACTACTGTTTTTGTAAATGTATTCACCAACATCAGCTTAGACTTTTAGTATGTGCGTGCACAGACCTAACTCTGTGTTTTTCACCAGGCTGTCAATAGATCTTCTGCGTTGATGTGTGACAGGTCCCTGGTGTCAGTGCCTGTGTGCGTACGCATGTTTTGGAGCTCATACATTTTAATTGGTTGAACTTTGTATGCATATCAAGTTGTGTTGAGGTGTGTATTATGACTTTAATGAGTCTCTTTGCTAAAACCTGTGGGGAGCAACAGATGCCATGAATGAGACTAATGTCTCTCTGCAGAGACAACACCGTGATGGAGTGTGTGGATTTTTTTACAAGTATTGTGCTACACAGGTTTAATGAAATATGTCATGCGAGTTTGTGCCGTGTTTTTCCAGAGTGAAATTCCATTAGTAATATCTGAGTTTAGTTAAAGACTGACACGCCGCATGCACACATTTGTTGTTAAATTAGTGTGAAACATGTTTCCGTACCTGCAAATCATGCATGATTGAATTTTCCCTCTAAGTGCCCTTCAGAACATTATTTGTGCTGCCTGTCTGTGATCACATGCTTTCTCAAAACACTGCTTTGGGTTATATTTGACTTTGGTTTCAAACCATCTGCCCTTTTGATTGTCTTGACATTTACGCCTCTCACCAGTTTTCTTGGAAATCAAAGCAGAAAATGATTAAATATTATTAATGAAGGCGTTCGTTGCATGAAGAGTGATCATCATCACTTCCTCTTGATTGATTCATATGGTCTGATTACCAATAATGTACTGAACTACAAGGAAGGTAAAACTTCAACAACAATTCCCTGTAGGAATGGATGGAATTGATTTGCTCTATGTTAACTTGTAATAAGGCTTCAAGGCTTTGTAATGTTTACCACCATGTCTGATCTAATGATGTATTAAAAAACAACCAATTGGCCAGTCTACTGGAAGTATTAGTAATATTAATGAGCTCAAAAGTTATCTAGCCTTCACCTTCTGACATCGTTGTACAAACATCTTTGTAATCTAAAAATCTACATATATATATCATCAGGGAAAACCCCACAGCACACCACCAGACAAATATCACAAAAAGTATATGTAATGAAATATAATATCTTCTTTCGTATATGTAATGAAATATAATATCTTCTAGTTTAAATGACCTCAAATTTTGGCCTGTTTAGTTGAAGACAACAGAGATATACTGGCAGGAATTGAAGAAAGAGACTCTTCGTCTGAAAGAGCTCTGATTATCTTAGGTTTTCATAGCCTTCTGCTGCCACCTAGCAGAAGAGTTTTTAATTGTTTTGCCTTTCCTGCTTTGACGAGCAAAAACAAATTATATGCAATAAATAAACAATTGTTTTCAGCCCAGTTAAGTGAAATTGGATAATTTTCCACGGCACATCTAATGATCTCTCACGGCACACTAGTGTTCCACGATACAGTGGTTGGGAATCACTGCTGTACATGACAGCGTATGTTGATTGCTATCACTGCTGTGTTTGACTTCATAAGCTATAGGCCTTCGTACATCACATGATCAAATTTGGAAGACAACCAACACAGCCCACTACAATTAGATTAGGAGTGCCTCTCTTATATTGAATGTACCTGACAGCCACCAAGTCTGATTAGAGAGTCTTTTATAATGACGGTACTTTCGATTCATCCCTTCAGATTAATGATCTAATTATTGCATCACAGAGAAATGATGAAAAGTGCCCTCCTCCTGCTACACAAATAAAACATCAGGTCTTTTTTTTTTTTACTTGTTGAATGTGGTCATATCTACATGGAGGAAGAAGTGGATTTCTCCTTTCTTTTGGTTTCGTGGCTCATTAAGATGATTGAGTGCTGCTCCTTTAATGTGTACACAGCTAATAGTATTACTTGGATAACCCAGTGCAGGAAATGACTGTCCTCTCACCTGGCTGCTGTTTCTTTTTGCTGCAGGTGGGATACGAGAATGCGGGAACCGTGGAGTTCCTGGTGGACAAACACGGCAAACACTTCTTCATTGAAGTCAATTCCAGACTCCAGGTTGAACACACAGTCACCGAAGAAGTCACTGAGTAAGTAACAGCTGTTTAAACCCGCAGGCAGCTGTGTGACTACAGTGCTTGTCATTTTTTGTATGGGTTTCTTGGATCATCTGTCCAGAGACAGGTGCACGGCTGCAGGAGTAAATGTTCCCCACTTTAAGAAGTTGCTGAAGTGTAGGTTGAATATGAGCTCCATAGGAGAAGATGTTAAAAGGGTAGGCGATTAGTAAGGAAGGAAGATGCAGAAATGGGCAGAAAGGAAGCAAGTGGAGCAGGTAAAGGAAGGATGTTGGAGTACAGCCTGAAAACAAAGAGATGAGGAAGCAGAGCAAGGCTCGACCAGGTGGGATCAGTGGAGAGAGAAGATGAAAGAGGGGGTCAGAGAGAGGGTGGGAGACAATAGGGATGGGAGAGGTGAGCGTGAGACAGAGGATAATGAAAAATATAAATAGCACTCTGCTCTCCTCACAACCAGATAGATTTGCTCATCTGAAACAAGACAGATGGGTCTCAAACTAATACACACAAGACATACACACACACGAAATACAGCTATATTTGTCCTCCGGTCAGACCCACAAACATTGACACGGGTCCAAACACACCAATACATTATGTCCCATGAGGTGGGCATTCTTTATAAGATGTTTTGATGATATAGTTTGGGCCTGTGGAACAAGAAAAATTCAAAAATAATATTTTTATTTAATTAGTCAAATGTTAGCTGTGGATTAATCATGCCTAATCATGACATCACTCATGGAGGTGATCAACATGAATGCACATTCCTGATTCCTAGACATATTGCTATTTCATATTTAGTAATGTGTATTGTGGGAGCAGAAAGACATTAATAACAGGTAGATGTATGTTTTTCTCAAATGTTTCCATTTATTACCATTCTGAGTGATTTAATTGGTAATATAGAAAAATTAAATTTATGCAGTGTGCTTCAGCCTGATAATTTTTTACAAATTAATCAAATTGATTAAGGCACTAATTTTGACAATCCTTATATTAAAAGTATACACATTCCTATTCAATGCAAGCATGACTGAATTTTGAAAATTATTTTATTTACATTTTTGCTGCCTTTGGATGAACCCAGGGGCCATAATCCTGCTTTGCTTTGTAGGTCAAAGGCAATACATTTTGCCACTTTTTTGCCACAGATTTTCAGAAGTTAAAATTCTGTGTTTTTTCAGTGTGTTCTCCTGGTGGTTTTGTCATGAGGACGGCTGTTGCACTTGAGCACCGTGTGCCCCTGGCTGAGCTTTCTTCATTTACAGTAACATTATGTCTTCATAAGTAATGGCAGAGCGCGGTAGTTTACTGCTCTTTACTGCAAGTGCTCCACATGGGTCACTTACTTACCTGATTAGACATTTTCCAAGGACTGTGGATCTTTATAGAGTCACCCTCTCTCTCCCCGACTCCCTTGTTAGTTTTTCACCTGTTATGTCAGGAAATATTTCACCTTTATGATTTTAATGAGTATATAGGGCACCTCTGCAAATTGTCTGTGTGGCTGCGACACACATTTAGATGCTTTCAATTCACTATAAAGACTTGTGTAGGAGTGTGACAACAGGCAGTTAAAGACTGCTTCTCTTTTGTCCTTGTGACAAGATATGTGGGGGTTTTTCCACTTGTGTGCTGTCAACGTCAGGACAGGTTAGTATTGTAAATTGTATTAGTGTGGTTTCTTTGTGGGAAACATATATGTTGTATTACCTGCATTAATTAGATGGAAACAAAATGGCAGCTTTTATTTTAAGAAATGGCATATTTAATTTCTTTGCAAGAGTTAGGGATTCTGACAGCTGGACACTTCAGCTGATCATTTTTCTAGTGGAGCTTTTTGTAGGCGGGTAATGTTTTCAGCAAACTAAGTTAAAAAGGTTTATAAACCAGAAGTCACTTTGCTGTTCAAGTTGCTTGGATATGTTATCTAAATCAGTGGTTCTCCAACTTTTTCTACTCTGTACCACATGAGAACACATTGATCTCTCTGAGTACAGACATTAGAATACAGCAGCAGAGGCCTTCCCTGTTAGCTTCCATCACAGGAGAGATGTTTAGACATGTTTAGAAAGATGTTTAGGTTTAAATGTTGTATTAATTGTACATGGTATTGTGCATGGTATGTACTACCAGTGGTATGCGTACCACAGTTTGAGAAACCACTGATCTAAATAATAATAATAAAAAAAACACTATTCGAATAACTACTGCTGCCTCTATCCTAACATTTCTGCCTTTTACATTTTCATATACAGTGACAACTACTTTGGTACTTGTTAGCATACATGTACAGCATACAAGCCACATTCATTACTGGTGCCTGTTGTTAAAACCGTAGGTGGGTGAAACCAATTCTCAACTACCTGTAACCCTTCACATCCAGCTTTGCACCATTGTCATATTTACTTTGTCCTCCAGAGAAAATGTCACATCACTGAGAGAATTTCAATCTGGGGTCATTTATATTGGCAGAAATGCCGTATTTACTTGGATTTGGACAGCGTCAGTTGTCAAACGGCGCACGTTGAAAGTTTCAGCTGTCAGAGGAATACCTTTTTTTTTTTCATTTATACAGCAACATGTCAGGCTGAGGTTTAGCTCTAGGCAGCCACATTCAACAGTCTCTGCAACAGAAACTCAGTGTGCATCAGTCAGTGGAGGGAGGGGTTCTTCTATTCACAGGCCGACAAGTATTGTTTTCAGTACGATGAACGACAAGTGTGAACGTGCTGTGGCTTTACCTCAGCATTACTGCCATTAGTTTCTCAGCTTGTTTGTTTCAACCGGCTTCACTTCCAATCTCTGAGGTGTATGAGCACATCCATTCTTGTTTTCATGCGTTTGAAGCAAGTGTTTCACTAAGAGATTTGTCAGTTCTGTGTACAGTGAAGTGTAAGTCTTAACTTATCTTGTAAGTCACCACATTACAGTCGTCTCTCTTGTCTATTTTCATTTTCTTCATTTTTTTTCAGCTAAACATTTTGGCCTGTGTGCTTTTATTCCTTATCTTCTTCGTGTGTCGTACACTGCTGCTGTGTCACCGGCTCGTACTGTATGTAGCTGCGATGGATTTCAAACATACCAGGATGTAGTCGTTAGTAAACACCTGACTTATAGAAAATGAAGATGGCCTGAAGCAAACAATATCAGTTTGACAAGGTCAGCTACTATACCACTCCCACTGCCTCCTGCTGTATACCAGGCAACGGTATATCCACGCTGATATATTTTTAGATCAATATGATTTCCCTTTGGACAAGTGGTTTAGTATTAGAAGTAATCTGTCGACACCAACACATCTGAAAAATCACTATGGTGAAAGTAATTAGATGCCCTGTGGAACTGATGTGCTCAATTTAATTTTGGTATGTGTATGTGTGCGCACGTGTGTGTGTCTGCCTGGTGTGCAGTTTTAATTAAGTGTTACTCATTGGCATTTGATATAGTCCCCAGTGTTTTGCTCTAAAATTAACCATCTCAAGTTAAAACATAACCTGTTAACCTCAACTCTGACTCTAACGCCACAAAATGTTCCATTTACCTTAAGAATGAGTGTGTTGTACTCATGGTAGTGAGCATGAAAGGAACTATTTTAAGGTCCGGGCCTTAAAAAAGGTGGTACACAAGTGCACACTCACACTGCAGACTCAGGTTTCAAAGTCCCCTATCTACTTCTATAAATTCAATTCATCGTCTCTTCCTCCTCTCCTGTTCATCTCATCCTGCGGTTCTCCCTCAGGTTCTCCCCTTCATCACCCTGTCCTCCACTGACTTGCTGCATTGCTCTCTGCACTCCTCTTCATTTCTGCGTTCAGTCGTAGTGTCTCTCCTCCTCTCACCCTTGCCCTCTGCTCTGTCTCCTCCGCTGCTATCCTTTCAGCCCTGTCAGTTTCTCCCTCTGTGCGTCCATCACTCACTCAGCCCCACCGTCCTCTTCTCTGACTTGTTTTGGACTACTTTCTACTGTTTTGCCTGTGTCTCTGGCTCTTCTCTTCATCCTCCTTGCCTCACCACTTTGATCATCATCCATCATTCCTTGTCCACCTAAGAACTGGTCTATTTTAACCCTCTGGACCCTCCAGCTGCCCTCTCCTAAAGGATTCTCACACTCTGACCCACTTTGTCCCTTGCATTATGAATGGACAAGAGAGTACATCCATTACACTCTGTTCCTTACTGTTGAATGTTGTGGATGTATTTTGCATTTTGACCATTAGGGTGTCTTCAAATGACACCATACATATTTTTTAAATTCTTTGCCAGGTACTTCCAAAATAAAGAAACTATAACGTCAGCCTCCTGTCACAGTAGTTTAATGTTTAAAGTTTGTTTGCACAGGTCCATGGTTATCACCTGAAACCAACTGAACATCTGTTTCCTCCCCTGTACTTCCTCCTACTTTTTCCTCTCGTTTGCCACTGTTCTCTAACTGAACCTGCACAGGTTCTGTTCTCTAGCTCTGCTGCAGCTGCTGCTGTTCTCTCTCCTCTACTTTCTCAGGGAAATACTTTGTTGTTTTCCATCTCTCTCTTTGCTGCTGCTATGGAGGCATTTCAGTTTGCCATGTTTTCGATGGAACACATTGTATTTTTCTTTGTTCCGTTTGCTTCTCTCTTCCAACTTGTACAGTGATTATGATTAACTGTCCCCAAACAACCTGAGTATAGCAATTATAATAATTTTAACAATACAGTTAACAAAAAAGTCTATACATGTATGTATATGAATACAAATACATACATATATACTGTATGTATATATATGTATTTTCTGTATATATACTGTATATATATGAGAAACCCTGCAGTAGCTGGTATGTACTGCACTATAATGATAAGGGAGAGTGCTGTTTTTCAGGGACAGTTTTGCTTCAGTTATTTTGTGTGTTTGTGTTTGTGTGTGAATGTTAATTTGAAGGGACATTACACCTTAGATTAGTGGACAGTAGTCCTTTAGATCTTGAAGAGGTGTAATTATGTCCTCAGGCTCTCATTGAGCTGTGCTCT